AATTTGACACCATATCTACATATTTACATATATGTATGTATGTGTGTATATATATATATATATATATATATATACACACATACATGGGAGGGATAATATGCATATAAAACTATTTGTGTATAAACCATGAAAACTGTTGATGTCATTGTTTATTTTAGTGAAAAATTTTCATGAAATTGTATAATATTATGAAATTGTTTCAAATAATTCATTTCATAATGAAATGTTTCATAGATTTTTGTTTCTATATAAAAATTAAAATATTTCATCTATTTCTTATTTTGATGAAATTTGTTGACTAAAATTAATAGAATGAAGATGATAATATCCATAATTATTTGAAACAATTTCACGAAAAAATTTCACTAAAATAAACAATGAAAATCGATATTTTTTATGGTTTGTACAAATGACTTGGTTTGCAAAATATCTCTCCCATATATATATATATATATATATATATATATATATGAGAAGTAAAGAAGTGAACCTAGCCCTTTATACGGTCAAGATCAAATTTGACTGGTCAATAATTGCGGCTTTGAGTGGTAAAAAGTTGCGGCTATAGAAAAATAAAAGGGGTAGTTTCATAACTTTTACAATTAGACGGCAAACGAGTTCATATATGAGCCTATGTGATTCACATATGAACTCGTGTAATTAATATATTAACTATTTTAAACGATTCACATATGAATTAATTATTTGATTCATATATGAATCTTTGTTATTTACATATAAACTAATTAACTAATTTATATATGAACCTTTATGTTCATATATGAATCAGTTAAATAGTTCACATGTGAATTAATTAACATGTTCACATATGAATATATAGTTCACATGTGTTTCATATATGAACCTGTTTGCTACCTATTTGTAAAAAATACAAAACTACCCCTTCTATCTTTCACATATCATACAAAGAATTATCCGATGTTTCATGGTCAAAGCCGTAAACCAAATGAAGAGGTAAGATCACTTATTTACTTCTTAAATATTTATCACTTCTCAAATGAAACTTTCCATATATATATATATATATGTAAATTTTTTAAAGGATTTTCTAAATTCCTGTCACGAATATATTCACATGCAATATGTGATACTATTATATTATAATTGATAACCCGTTTACCTCATGATTTAAAAATCTTTTAAAATTCAAGTTTATAACTTATTATATACTCCATACGTGCAACTTCTTAAAACCCGACTTTTGAACTTCAAAAACCTAATTGATAAACATGTTTAAATTTCAAGGTAAGTGTCGGGCCTTATTAATACGACAATATACTTCATAAAACTGATAACCAATTGATGGCTATCGAGATTGACGAATTATAGAACAAAACATGAAACAAGATTGAGGATTCAAGTTTTTAGCTTCATGATTGAAATGATCATGCTGTATTGTGTGGATACATAAACACACACATACACATACACATACACATACACATAATGAGAAACTTTATACTGGTTTAAGCTTGGCTCCAAATGTCAAAAATACCAGGAGGTCTCAGGTTCAAATCCAATGAGGAATAAAAATCTTCTTGTTGCCACAGAGGTTCAAATGCGTGGACTTCGGGCTATCTGCAAAGCAAGTGGTCGCCGTGAAATTAGTCGGCTCGCATAGCGGGTTGGATATCCAAGTTAATCATATTTTTTTTTGCTAGCTATCTATAAACTTATGATTATAGTTTAATTGCCAAATTACATGAAACTTTAATGTAATTTAGTATGATTCATATTTTGTATAACATATTTTCAAACCTTATCTTGGTACATCATATGTGATATCTCAAATATTAATTTAGATCAAATTAAGTTACACAAAATAGGAATCAGACAAGGGTAATATATTTTTCATGCACTATTATATATAAGCTAGGTATTAAAATATTTGAGATGTCACGTGCATAGCTATTTTCATGTAAATTAATCCAATGTTTAGAACTATTTTTCATGTAACGATAATGCATAACTAAGATTTTCCAATCATTAAGTTCTTCACTTGCTAATGACTTTTTTGATTGAGCGGTTTTGAATAATTTGCAACAAAAACTAAAAAAATTATCCAAGTCTCTGGAGTAAACCAACCATTTCCGATCATGACATTCAACATTTTCTGGCTTACTAATATAATGGGTACAGAAAAATGCCTATTTTGTTCATTTTTTGGAAAAACGATGTTAGTTTCTCTACTATGCCCTTTTTCTAAGCAAATCTTTTAATTTTGAACTTAAAGTATCCCAGACACTTGGCTAAAAAATATTCAAAACAACATTAGGCTCATTAAAGTCATTAGAGTTGGGATTACCAACACGAGACTCCTCAACATGATTTTCCACAAAGTCATTAGAATTGGGATGAACAACGAGTTCTTCATTAACAAGATTTCCCACATTATCATTAGAACTAGCATTTTCAATGAGTTTTTCTTGCCTCACAAATAATTTATTTAACGATCCAAGTAAAGATTGAACAATTTCTTGTTTTTGTTATTTCTTTTTATATTTTGAGCACCAGAAGGTTGTGATCTACGAAACATATTTAACAAACCAAATTGTTCAAAGTACCAATCACCAAATATGCAATTATACAATACCAAATATGCAAGTAAGGCAAGATTCAAGATTCAAAAAAATGAGTAAGCCACCGGACACCAAATAACCTAAAGCAAATTTCCAATAATCTAAATAACCAATTTGAAAATCACCAAACTGCAAATAATCAGACTAAATAATTAAAAAGTACTAAGATAAGAACTAGAAGGAAACCAGGACTCAAATCAGGTGGAAATCGATAGGTAGGCATTAGCACTAGGTAGTCTCCAAGTCTCTTGGTCGATGGGCATCGTGAGAGACTGAGAGCGATGCGAGATTGCGAGGGGAGGGTGTGAGGATAGTAAGGTGAACCCAAAATCAGAAGTCGATAACTCGTGAATTATGATTCGTGAAAAAAGCGTGAAGCGTTGTTTGATTATTCAAGGTCAAGGCATGGAAGAAAGCGTGAAGAGAGTCGCCAACTTCAAAAAAATATATTATAAAACGAACCTAGTACAAGCTTAAAGCGTTTTGGATTATAATCTCCCTTGGGCTCTAATGCCCTAGGCAAAGACCCATGTCTCCCACTATGTAGGCCAACCTTGGTGGTCGTTGGACTCAAATCAGATAGAAATCGATCGATAGGCATTGTGAGAGACTAAGAGTGATGCAAGATTGCAAGGGAAAGGTGTGAGGGAAATGCGAGGACGATGAGGTGAAGCCAAAACCATAAGCCTTTACTCGTGAATCGTGAAGAAAGCGTGAAGCATCGTTTGATTATTCAAGGTCAAGGAACGAAAGAAAGCGTGAAGGTGAAGAGAGTCACCGGCTTTTAAAGCCAATAGAAAATGAACCTAGTACAAGCTTAAAAGCATTTTGAGTTGTGATGCCTTGGGATAAGGCCCATGTCGCCTACTACGTCGGCCTGCCTTTTTTTGGAAAAAATAAAATAAAAAATACAAGTAATATAACACATGCACAATATTAATTGAATATTATCGACCACAATTGTACGCAACTCTTAGATACACATATTTTATCATAATTTATTTACTTAAAAATGAATATTCCAAATATCAAGTAGATACAAAATAAACTTAGCGTTAAACTTCTTGATTTATTTCAGCAAATTATTTTCAATATTTATGATTTACATAATATTGTCTATTTGAGACAATATATAAATATATAATTTTATTTNATAAATGATATAGAAATTGTATTATATATTATATATATAATATAATATATTATGTTATATATTATATAATATATGATAATGTACCATATATTGATATGTTATCTATACTATCTTATAAACTAGATTTGTTAAAAGTCTAATACACAAAGTAATATGCATTTATGCACAAAGTCTTAAAAACAACTCATAATGCATTAAGTATTATTACTTTATGCATTCAGTCTTAAAATCTCTAATCTACAATTAAAATAACATATAGTACAAGTTATCAATGCACGTTATTACTTTTTCTTTTCATGTTTCCAAGATACTTTTGACATATTTAACTCATGTCTTCACCATCTCATACCTCTATGTCTTATCCTCATCCCCAAGGTGATATTCAAATTAATATTCACCATGAGTTATTAAAAGTTCTCTCATTCATCTACCATTCAATTGCTCCAGAACTCTCGGTCTCGTTCTTGATATCTTGATTCTTTGCTTTTCGTGTAAATCGAACACATTTGTGGAGTCGTTTAAATATATTGGATTTTAAACTGTCATGCAATTTTTTCCATCGATAAACTATAATTGGAAACATCTCTTATTTATTCAAATTGTATTAATATGTAAAGACCAAGTGTAACTTATATCATCGTTAAATATTATCTAATAAAACCAGTGAAACTTCAAAATCGTTAAAATTTACGGCTTCCGCCGTATTGGGTGGATACACAACTAGTATATTATAATGTATTACATATTAGGTAATTTAAGATACACTTTATATAATACTCATAATTTAATCTTTTTTATTTAATATTGTATATTATATAGTATAATGTATATATAATATAATATATTATCTTTAAATTTTATAATTTTTTTATATTTTATTGCATAGAATTGACGAATAAGATAATATCTAGAAAAAAAAATATGTTATAAAAAATAAAGAAATAACCAGAAAATATAGGGAAAAGCAAAATGATGAGCAAAAGTAAATCTATAGCATGAATCCAAACGTTGAGTTCTTGTTTGACCAACGCATTGTCATTTAATCGAAAGCTTGATTGACGAAATAAACAAAGATAAAGATTGTAAATGAAGTAAGGGTCGAATTGAGATAACCATCAAACTTGAAGGGTTAACTTTGTAATACTCTAAAAAAGAGAGAGAAAGAAAGCTGGAAATCAAAGTTATGAAGATTAAAAAACAAAAGGTTTTTGGGGATCAGAGAGAGAAAGAGGCTGAGGGGGTTTGTTCCTAGAGTCTTGACCTTTCAAGACACAGCATCTTTCCTTTGATTCTTTCATTTCAGGATACATCTATTCAGGGATATACAAATTTGCCCATATACAGATGGGTTAAATTTAGGGTTTAATGTCTGTTTGTGTGTGAGAGAGAGAAAGAGAAAGAGAAAGAGAGGGAGAGAGAGAGAGGGAGAGAGAGAGAGAATCCATTAATTGATCCAGCAAAGAGAGCTTATCTTATCATCTTCATCTTCATCATCAATTCTCCATACCTGAGTCTCATTTACACCTCAAAGAGGTTGCATGAGTATTTATGTGTAAAAAAGAGATGTGGAGGAAGTAAACAAGAAGAATCAGTTCATTGATCCATCAGCAATCAGCTTATATATCATTGAAATCAACTCCAACAACAAGAACCCTTGTACCCATTTCAATATATTCACAGGTAGTGTGTATTTTTGTGTGTATGTGTGTGTTTTTTTCTTCTTTTTAGTTGTCTGCAATCAAACCTGGGTTTTCTTTAGTTTTTTTTTATTTGGGTTTGTGCAAAATGAGAAGTTTATGAAGAGGGTTAAGAGCAGTCAGGTAATTGATCAATGTGTTTTTGTGTGGAAGTATGTGAAGATGGAGATAGAGTGTGTTTTATGGTGTTTGTCTGTTTATCTTTGTACAAATCAAATTGGGTCTGCAAATTTTATTCGTTTCTTGATGCGGGTTTCTCCAATCGTGTAACAGAAAGGGGGTGAAAGATAAAGATATCAATTCGATTTGATCAGCGTGTGTTTTTGTGAAAAAAAAAAACTTGTATTTTTGTTAGCTTGTTGATCTGGGATTCCCCCAAAATGAAAGCTTCGGGTTCAAAGAACCAATTTCTTGATTCATAAATCACAGTGTGTGTATTTGTGTGAAAGTGTGTGAAAATGGATAACAACAACCAGACTCCAGTACCACCAACTGAGGAGCTGTTAAAGAAGATCCATGATCTTGAAGAAAGCCATGCTCATCTCAAACAAGAAATGTCTAAGCTCAAGCTCTCAGATGAGCAGCAAAAATATGACCGTCAAAGGTCTAGTTCAGTATCCCCTCGCCGCCCTCGCCGGAGAACCATGGGTGGGGCTGGTGGGGTGTTTGAGGGCGGCGCTGTAGCTGCTTTCAAGATCGGTTCATCATCTTTCCGTCATTCTTCACCATTGAGGAGAGAAACTCGGAGCGTTGATGTTAGTTATAGCAATGATAACAACCATAACAGCTCTGTCACAAGTGGCGGTGCCGCCACCACTGGGGAGGGCGGTGGAGCTTCTGGGCCTTCAGCTATGAAGCTAACAGAAACACAGTACTTGAATATATTGCAGTCAATGGGTCAGGCTGTGCATATATTCGATCTCAATGCTCGCATAATCTACTGGTGAGTCAAACCTTTCAATTGAATTTGTATGTTCTCTATAAATATGTGCATAATCTGTGAATTCTAGCAAATAATAGAAGGAAAATTTGGATTCTTGATGGGTTTATTGAAGGAGATAAAAAGGTGTCGAATTTTAATAAGTTTGATTAATGAAATTGTGCAGGAACCGAATGGCCGAAAATCTTTATGGTTATACGGCTGCCGAAGCTCTAGGGAAAAGGCCAAATGAGCTTCTAGTAGACGCTACCGATTTTCCCTTGGCCGAGGCTATCTTACAACGAACAGCGAAGGGGGAGAACTGGTCTGGGCGGTTTCCGATTAGGAACAAGTTAGGGGAAAGATTTCTTATTATTGCCACTAATACGCCATTTCGTGATGAAAATGGAACGTTAATTGGGGTTGTATGTGTGTCGAGTGATGCACGCCCATATCAAGAAATGAAGCCTCTCGCAACCATAAGTGCACCAAGGAGGATTGCTTCAGCTAAACTTGGGCTTGATCCTCAACAACCTCTACAAACTGCAATTGCTTCAAAGATTTCAAATTTGGTCAGTAAGGAATTACATTTTCTGCTATGTGTGGTTAGTTATGTTTTTGCTTACAATAACTAGTAGAAACTTAAGGACCCACATTTGATTACCCCCTTTCTCCCATGAAAATTGCAATGTTTTACTTGAGATATGGTTCAAGTGTTTGAGTTTTTGTTAAATGTCTAAAATATCCATCGATGAGGGTCACCGATTGTTGGAGTAATTAACTTTTCGAACCTTCATATAGTTTCTTATTGCAAACAAATGGACACCGCTGTACAAATGGAAAAAGAAAAAAACTTGATACTTTGCAAGAATATGAGGGATTTTGGACCAAACAACACCACGTAGGATGTTTATCTTTTGCATATTCTTTTCTGCATAATAAGGATTAGTGCTTTTTGCAAGAACAATGGTTTGTTGGTAACACTAAAGAAGACTTTGAATGACGATTGGAAAAGTTAATAGCTCATTTTTCGGCTAGCAAATTGGTAATTCTAAGTTCTAACTTGAAGACTTTCCAAGAATGGAAATGTTGCAATTCTTGTGGGATATCGCATGATGAAAATTGTTGCAATTCTCATGGGACAGAAGGTTTCTTGATTTAACTAAACTAAGTATCTCCGCCAGTTGCTCGAGAAAACAAGAACCACTAGTTGAGGTGTTATTTATCAAATTACGGTCAAAGAAGTATTTTCGTTAACAAGAATTTCTGTGCAGATTTGCTTGTTGATCGATTATTACAGAAACCCATGGATTATATTATGTAACAATGGATCTTGATTATTGAAAACACAAAAACAGGCTACAAAAGTTAGCAACAAGGTGAAGTCAAAAATGAAAACTGGAGAGAACTTCACAGATCAAGATGGTGGGATTGGAGATGGTAATTATCCTGAACATGATATTGCTGCATCCGATCATAAAGAGGATGGATATTCAAGTGGAGCCAGCACCCCAAGGGGCGATATCCCTCAGTCTCCATTTGCAGCATTTTCATCTACAGGCCATAAAGATCAAATTACCGGAAAACCCTCAACAGATTCTGGTGACGAGAGTGAAATCAAGCCTGGAATCCACAAGATTTTATCTTCAAAAGCCGAGGCATGGATGGGCAAAAAGGGAATTACATGGCCGTGGAAAGGAAACGAAAGAGAAGGAGGTTCATCCGATCCAAAAGGCGGTCGTTTTGGTTTGCATTGGTTACATAATGATCAAGAACACGAGTCTGGTCTACAAACAACTTCCGCAAAAGTAGAAAGTCAACCGTGGGAGAACACCAATCGTAATGAGGCTTCAGGATCATGGTCTTCTTCGTTTAATGTTAACAGCACAAGCAGCGCTAGCAGTTGCGGGAGCACAAACAGTAGCGCCATTAATAAAGTGGACATGGACACAGATAGTTTGGATTATGAAATCTTGTGGGAAGATCTAATAATTGGAGAACAAATTGGCCAAGGTATTACAAAACATTTTTGATCACTTTTGGTCTGTTCTATGCTCGTAATACTAGTGAGTTTGGTTATATTCACAGGTTTTATCTAACTCTCATGGTACGTTATATTTCTGAGTCATTTGAAAATTTATCGCTTCCATAGGTAAAATATGACCCCATTTTTCATCAGCATTGCAACAATTTTTGTTTCAGGCTGTCCAACGGAATTTGCAGTATTCCCAAATTTGTAAAGTTTTGAAGTTACAATTACCCATAAGCTCATTCTGGTATTGGTTTAGGTTCATTAGAAAATGGAAATTTTCAAGCTTATCTGCTTTTCTCTTTTTATCCACTTTTCATAAGCCGGAGGTCTTCAGAAAAGTCAGAAACGACCACCCTACTCTTCGTGGTAGAAGTCGGGTTTACGCATCTTACCCTCCTCTGACCGCACCTCCAGGTGGGGTATGCTGGGCTTGTTTGGTTTGGTTTAGGAAGTTGAAAAAAGTGCTAGAGAATGGTACTGTCGCAAATCTACCTAGCGAACCCATGGTTTTTCCAACATTGCATTTTTCTGATTTCCCCCCTTTTACATGTATTCTGGTAGGTTCATGTGGGACGGTTTATCATGCAATGTGGTATGGATCGGTATGTTCTTCATCTCTTCTTTTTTAATACTCCATATTTCCTATGAATATTGGAACAATTTCCATTTTGGTATGTCCCATGAAAATCGTAACATGCTTATTTTTTGAAAGTTCTCAATATACAATAAGTCGATATGATTTGGGTCCAACTTCTCCTCAATTTTTTTGTTACTGAATGGTATTTTAGATATTTGACAAGTAGTTAACACTTGCATAAAACTGTAAGCATTGCTGTTTTCAAACGTTCTGCAAGTTGGCAATGACCTCCAAATCTGTAATCTTTTCTAACAACCAAATTCCTTTAAATTGCAAAGTAGGACCATTTGTCTACCTTCTAAAGTACCATTCAGTAGTGAATAAGCAAGGGAATCTTGTAGCTTTAAATAAATATCATCAGTTTTTCTGTAACAAGAATGATGGGCAAATATGTAGTTCAAAATTGAGAACTTTCTGAAACTGGAAAGGTTACAAGGAGAGAAATATGAAATTTAACGAATGTTTGTGTATGCAGGATGTCGCTGTGAAGGTTTTCTCTAGGCAAGAATATTCAGAGGATGTGATATTATCGTTTCGACAGGAGGTAATTTTCTGTCAATGCATTAGTTCAGCGATTCAACAATTGTTTGAGGGAAGTGTTTGACTATTTGTAGTTTGCCTAAACATACCAATATGACAAAACAAAGGAATCTTGTACACCTAAATCAGATTATTTTTTCGTGATGATGACAATGGGTATCTAGAAAACTTTCCTAAAGTGGAACTGTTAAAATTTTGATGGTTATATGAAAATTGTGTAAATCTTATCTTTTTTTGTATTTGAAGGTATCCCTCATGAAAAGGCTTCGGCATCCAAACATTCTACTCTTCATGGGTGCTGTAACCTCACCTCAACGTCTATGCATTGTCACAGAATTCCTTCCCCGGTTAGTTTTCCAGTTCCCTTTAACAATCCATATATATATATATATATATATATAGGTAGGTAGGCATGTCTCTCTACCCATACATATGTATATATATGTGTGTATGTGAATGAAATGTGACCAGTCCATGCACATCTCCCGTCGTGTTTTTTTCCCTACAATTGTACCCAAATTTTGTATACATACCTTTTGTTTTGTATGGGTTCACTTCGTAGAAGGATGAAACTGGATTGAAATGGAGGGGTTAGAGTAAGGTAGACAGGTGAAAGAATTCTGGAATTTATGGCTATAACTTGACATGGGTAGCATAGTAATTTATCATTATTGTCTTATGTTTGTTCCACCTACTTTGATGGGACTATAAATAATGCTTTTTTGTCCCACTCACCTATCCTAGCCTAATTTCACACCAAACATTGGACAACAAGTTTTTGTACTGTCTTGTACCAAAGATACTGTAAGTAAACAATAAGGATAAAATTGTGAAAACCAGGATCTTTCTTTGATGACTATGTTCAAGCATTATTGATGCTCTATTCTCTCTCTCTCTTACACACACACATTGTATATGATCACACACACTCATTGATTCACTAAGCTAAATTAAGCTATTTCATTTTTATGCAGTGGAAGTTTGTTCCGGTTACTTCAACGAAATACAACTAGGTTAGATTGGAGACGTCGTGTTCATATGGCCATGGATATAGTAAGTATTAATACTCTTATTAACGATCTTCATGCATGCTTGGCATCGAAATGTTAGAACCATTTTTTGGTAACCGTGGGTGTCTGGGCCAACTTGTGCTCACCTCGATTATCCCACAAGTCCCTGAAGATAACAACCACAAAAATCCCCCTTGGCCCTTCACCTTTTTGTGTTTCTTTAGGTCATTTAACATTCTCGTTTTGTGGGTCCATTTACTTCCATTGTAGTCCATGTTCTTATACTTGGTGGTCGTACAGGCGCGTGGCATGAATTATCTTCATCATTGTCATCCACCTATTATTCATCGGGATTTGAAGTCCTCAAATCTTCTTGTCGATAAGAACTGGAATGTTAAGGTTTGTTTTATTTGCTTTGTGCTCTCATGTTGTGTTCTTGATTTAGACAAATATGAATAAAAGGATATTGTGGATTTGCAATTGTATAGGTTGGCGACTTTGGTCTCTCGCGTATCAAGCATGAAACGTACCTTACAACAAAGACGGGGAAGGGAACGGTATTTATCTATGTCACTTTGTATATAGATTTTGTTTGTCCCATGAAAATTACAATGTTTGACTCGACTAGTAGTTTGATGGAAGTGTTTAACTCATTATCATATGTGTAAAATGGCCATAAAACGAGAGAATCTTGACATGAAGCATATATCATTTATCAATATGTAATGATGATTGTGGGCAAATAAGTCATTTAGCTTATGCTAATTGTACTCCGTGTTACTCTGAATGAAACCAAACTAGCCCAATATATCCCACTCGAAGGTGGGGTTTCGGGGTGGAATGTATGCATATATGACATCAGTAGTTGTTTTCGTGAAGACCCCCATCTTTTGAACCCTTGTTTGATACTCTATTGATGAAAATATATACTCCTTCAATCCCATGAAAAAATTGTCATGTTATACTTAAACATGTTCGATGAAAGTATGTTGATGCTTGATCAATTGTCTAAAATGCCCTTAACGTTCTTCTCCTTTTCCAATTTTAGCCTCAATGGATGGCTCCCGAAGTTCTTCGGAATGAACAGGCAGATGAAAAGTACGCTCTATCCCTGAAGGCAATCATATTTTTAGATAACGTTTGAATACGTATGAAAATATTAAAATTTGATGTTAACATTGGTTTGAAATCTGTAGGTCCGACATATACAGCTTTGGTGTGGTATTATGGGAAATTACTACCGAGAAGATCCCTTGGGATAGTCTCAACTCAATGCAGGTATTGTGTTTTAACCATTTTCTTGGTTTTTGTCCCTACAGTAATTGAAAATGGGACACTGAAATTATGAGTTGACAATTTCTTTGTTTGACCTCAAAAGTCAAAAATGCGATTTGTATACAAGTAAGTGTGTATGTGATACTTACAGGTAATCGGAGCTGTAGGTTTCATGAATCAGCGGCTAGATATTCCAAAAGACGTGGACCCCCAATGGGCTGAACTTATTGAAAGCTGTTGCTGCAGGTTAGTATCTTGTTTGATCTTGTTTGTAACGGTCTAGGGTGCGTTTGGTATGCGGACTAGACTGGATTGGATGGGCTAGAGTGAAGTAGTGATCGTATACAATGTGTGTGTGTCCCAGGAAAATACCACACGGAAGCATTTTTGTCCCACTCAAGTCCTGCACTGTCTCGGTCCAAATTGTACTTGTCACAACAAGTTTTTGTGATGTCCTGTCCCTCGTACCAAACACACCCTTAGAATCTATCTCTTGGTATTAGAAGTTTGAGATACGAGCTTAACTTTGGTTTCAAGTTTCGGTGGACATGCGAACAATTGCTTGATAAACTAACGAATTTTCTCTTTTGGTACTCAGTGAACCGCAATCCCGACCAACGTTCCAAGAAATACTAGATAAGCTTAAAGATTTGCAGAAGAAATTCACGGTTCAACTTCAGGCATCACGAACTGCTGCCTCCACCACGGGTGGCGGAGAAAACAACAGCCCAAAGGAATCGTAGAAGAAAAACAGAAAGCAGAATTGAAATCACTTTGACCCTTTTTTATCCTGCAAAGTATTTCACCTGTGTCTGTGTCTGTGTCTGTGTCTGTGTCTGGTTGGTTTTTGCATGTGGCATTGCTTTGCTTCTTGTTAAAAAGTTTATAAGGATTGTGGCAAAAGAAGAAAAGAAAAAAACATTCTGATGAATCTCATTGTTTTGTGATCCATAAGGAACACTTTGCGATTGTTTTGTATAGAGTTATATGTTTTTAGGATTGTAAAACCAAGTTTATGTACATTTCTTTACTTACCCTTCTTCCCCCATGGAGTTTTAGGTTGTGATAAACCGAAAATATAATAAACGGAGTGGTCGAGGTCTGTATTGGACACAGTTCCTGATACGACAGTCGAAGCAGTATAAATTGTATCCAACACTGTAACAATATGTACTGTCGGACTTAACGTTAACTTGCATGAAATCATGGTGTTTTGTGTTAAAAATTCTCGAACCAAAGAAAATGACAATGAACTTCTTGGTCGACCTGGCCTTGTATTTGTGTCCATGTACACAAGTTCACTATTTTGGAGCTTATCTTGTACCATGGTTCATGTCCTATCTATTGTCATACAAAATATATTGGAAAATCTCATCTATCTCGGGTTAGAATTCAGGCGTTGTCAAAATCCTTGTGGTCACAAAGGTTCGTATGTAATGACTCTAATTAGTTGGTGTGCATAAGTTAGCCTGAGCATGGAAACCACAGTTACCCAAAAAAAAATATCAATTGTAACAAGAAATAATATACAAGGCGGAGGATCGTGTGAGAAAAATAGTTAAGGTGAGAAGCGTAAAAACTGATTTGAACCCTTGATCACTTTTAATCTCATATCCATCCATAAATTGTGCTATTTACGAGAATTGATCCGGTACATCTCATCTTAATGTGCATTCAAGGGTGGAGATCTTTTCTTACGCTTCTCATCTTAAGTAACTTTCATTCTCACCGGAATACAATAAGATCATATATAAAAGGGTTCAAATGAGAACACCTTCATTTTATGAGAACACCTTTTTAATATAGGCAATCACATGCGATAATATATTCCATTATATATGATACACACGTGACACTAAATTAGAGACGTAGATGACTTTTGGCACGACTTAGGTTGCGGGTCAAGTCGATTGTACACCATTATACCCTCTCATGTGTATTTATCACATGCGATAAGAGTGTTCTTGATGCAACAGTATAGTCTATCTCATGCGATACTAAATCAGAGACACATTCGACCTTTGACGCGACCAAGGTCACAAGGCAAATCGCCCACACACCACCAGGTCCCTCACGTGTATTATCGTATGTGATAAGGGTGTTCTTGTGTTTTTATAAGATGAGTGTATTCTCGTTTGAACCTCCACCTATATATACCACAAATCTACACAAATGTCAAATGAGTCTATCAAACTTTCATCTTTGTGTGATTTACACGGTAATGTTAAAAATAAAAGAGAAATATCCTTAACTTTAATTTACTTTGTGTTCCAAACATAAAATTTTAAGCTTTGATAGCATTGAAAAATGTCTTCGAATCCACCCTTGCCGTTGGACACGACTTCCAAGTTACCCGTCAAATCGCAAAGTATAATCAGTATACATATAAAACGGGATAACAATGACTTATAAAGGTATATACTTAAGTATGTGCGACTTCTAAAATCATTTATGAGTCACGTGCATCAATAAATTTGGGATGTGACGAGATATTATGCAACCTACCAAGTCGTTTAGAAGTCATGTTCAACCGCTTACACTATTTAGTCTCAAGTTAGGGCTCAAATGTTTATAACCCTAAATAGTGAGGGTGAGGGTGGTTGTTTATGGGGTAAACATGAGTATATGACTTGAATTGCATTGTATAGGTTTTACAATACGATATTTGTTGTATAATTGGTACAGTTTAAATTAATTTAAATTTTTTATAAAAATTACACTTAAAGTTTATCACTTTAATTTTTTTAAAAATTACACTTAAGGGTCGTTTACCCAATTGCTTAGCTGGTAAACGCTTACCGATAGGAGTCAACAATATGATTTATTTTGATGCGCAAGATTTTAGTACATCAAAACATATCGAATGCAACAATTTACTGGGTAAGTGCTTATATGAGTAAGTGTCGTCATCCTCACTTGTTGGGTAAGATTCTCTATTATTCTCGCCCGATAAGATCGTTGATCCTTCTCATGTTCATTCCATAAAAAAAATTTATCCGATAAACACTTAACAAATAAGTGTATATCACTTAAACGGCCAAGTTTATATCACTTAAAAGTTGTCAAACATCATTCAAATAAATAACCCTGAATTTAGGAATGCAATTAGTTGAAGAAAGGAGACGGTCATTTGGTAAAAGCACTGCGTTAGTCTTCACCGGTAAACGCCATCCCGAGACACGGGTAAAGTAGCAAAATCCTCGCCGACCCAAAAATAAGTTCTTGCATGAACATAGGAATTTAGGGTTTAACAAAGCTTTTATGTTCAAAAATGGAGTCGATTCGTAGCATCTTGTTGTGTGTTTTTGTAATTCTTATAGTCAAAGACTCGGAATCAACGCCGCCTCAAGCTTACAGAAGAGATCCGGGTCATCCTCAATGGCACCACAGTGCTTTTCAAGACGTTAAAGATAGTGTCCGATCAGATGTTCATAGTATGCTCCATTCTCGCGCCGAGGTAGAATCTTGATAATCTGATCTGACGGTAACTTGTATGTAGTTGTGGGAGTTTGTATGAATTATCGAGTTGAAGTAGTTTGATTTATATAACCGTTTTTGTTATATTTGGATCAATTTTGGTTCTAATCAATCACGATTACGGAGTACGAGTTCTGTAGATTAACGATTTGTAATTTCTCTGTAATTTTCATGTTTTATCGTTAAAATTTAATCATCTTATTCAAATTACATTCTTAATCCGTATTAACAATCTCAACTGAAGTTTGCCTATCTAGGTAATCCCTTTGTTATATACATATCAAATTTGTTTAATCTATCATGAATTTGGAGTACAATTTCCGTAGATTAACTAGGTTAAACATATGTAATTCTAATAACTATGCAATTTCATCAATTTCATTAAAAATTTTATAGGGCTTTTGAAAATATTTATAAGTGGACTGGAAGCGTATCAATGTAGCTAATCTCTTCCTTACATGCATACAAATTTTGTTCAAATTATCAGTGTAGATTGAATCATTAGATGTGCTTATGTATAAATATTCATCTACTTTTCATTTTTGAGTTAGATTAGTTTGTGCCGTATTGCAGTACAGTTTCAAAATACCATTGTTACTACTACTAGTAATAATGATGAATTGATGATGATGATGATGATGATGATGATGATGATAGTAACCCTTTAGTTATATCGAGCTTACTAGTTTATAGATTTAATGGTTTGCTTGGGTTTTGGGACTTGTGAGTTCAAATCCAAAGTTTATAGAGTGATAAAGTATGGCCAAGTTCATAAAGTTTAAATGAATTTTGTAAGACTCAAAAGTTAACTACAATTTCATCTAATATGAGTGCAAGTTCTTATCACCATGATATCATTAGTTTCCCTCCTAAAGCGTCCCACAAAGACTGCACCGTTCTCTTTCTCTGATGTCTTATGAGGATCACAACACTAACCATTTTGCATAGGAATCGTTAAGAAAGTATGCATAGTTAATTTTGGGTCACAAAGTTACTTTTGATTAAGCTAATTGCAAGGGCATTTTGGGCACCTAGCTACTAGTCAACAACTCATTCATTTGCATGCAAAGTCAAGTTGCAATTCTTGTCGGAAGGACGGAGTGCTAGTTTTTCATATGCAATTCAGATTCGGCCAAAGCTAAGGGTAGATGAAAGTCGCTGCTTCCAAATCTTCATGATATATGGGCTTTTACTTATGCAAGTGAATTCATTTGGACATCTTTTTCCTATTTGTAGAAGATAAAACCCAAACAAATGAACCCAATAAATCCTATATGTAGTAGGATCTGGGAGGGTAAAATGTGCGTAGACCTTTCACATACCCATAGGAGGAGAGACTACTCATTCTGTGAAGACCCGAACTTGTAATATAAAGTTGATGTGGAAATCAATAAGCACAATAACAAGAAGAGAAAAAAGATTAAAGCAAGGACGATGTCAACGAGCGGTAAACAAAAGAACAAGAAAGTGAGCCATCAACCCCCTCCTGACTAAACTCACACAGAGGCTACTTGACTCCCCAGGATCCCCCCCCCCCACCTACCATAGGACTCTGATGCCTCAACCTTTCCAACCCTCCCGCCACCATGTTATACATGCCTCACATACCCTAGTCTCACGTCTCCAAATAATAGTATTTGATGGTGTCATGTCTTTGAAAATGTTTGGAACCGCCATGTCAAGTCTCGGCTGCTCATCCCATGTCCTCCTCGGTCTGCCCCTGCTCACCTTCTCGACCTTTACACTTTCAACCCTCCTCACCGTGGCCGACATTAGCCTCCTTTGAACATGCTCAAACCACAGTCTTCCCTCTCAATTTGCATTAACAAACACATATGTAGTTATATCCTAATTTTCTTATTTCCAATATCAAGACTAAATATAGATCCATCACAAAAGTGGTTTATTAGCTTTTGTCATAACCAAAATTGATGCAAGTAGTAGAAGTTTGCCACATTCATACGGATTTAAGTTAGAAAGAAAACTTCTATAACTATGCACTATATCCATGCTTAATACAAATATATGATTCGACAACTAAAGGAGAATGTAATAGTAACATATGTTTAGTAGAGTCTAAAAAAATGCAACATTTTGCACCCAACTAAGTAGTAGACTGGCCCAGGTAACCTTCAAACAACAAAAATGATGGTGGTAGGGTAACTGGTAAGTTATTTGGAGTCTACTATCAAGGGCTGATAAAAAGATTCACTGTTCATAACCACGACTGATGTGGTATGGGCATTACAAATTCTCCCACTTAAATTATTATCCCCCTTCATACTTGAACACAGACGTAAAATCATCATTCTATAACCTATCGGTCAAGCCAAAAGCCAATCTTCAACATAGACATAGGCTTTGGTACAATTTTTAATGTCCTGGCCCAAAGCATAGAATGGCCCAAATAATCTCCAAATAGCTAAAACCATGGTGGGATAGCTCACTAGCAAGACCTTATGAAGGGCTCACATCTTATTTGGACAGCATGTTACGGAAAGGCGAATATCAATCTGCCATTATATTCGTACTTAAAGAATGTATGTCATGTAAAGAACTTTACAAGGTCTCTTCCACAAAGAAAAGATAACAGTGGTGTCAAGCCTTTTTAAGGATTATCTAGAGAAGGGAAAAAACTAAATAGAGGTATTAAAATCTTAAGTGACCTGAGCATGTGATTGCATCTCTACACCATTTTATTTGTTTCCTAAAACAACAGCATAGATTTAACTTGTCAGCTAAATTTTTTTGCTTTTTTTGTTATAGTCTACGGGCAAAAAGATTACATCATTAGCTTGCCCATAGAGTAGCAATGACCTACAAGGTTACAACAGCTTATGCCTTGTTGAACATGTTATTCTTATTGAGGTCTATATTCTAAATGTCGTGTGTTTGTGGCATGAAAACAACCTCCTTGCTTGCAGGGGGTATGTTAGGGCTGGGAGTTTCTTCTACTGAGATGTTCTTCTATTCCCTTTTTAGTGTAACCAGAATTTGATGGTCAGAGAATTAGTAAGTTCATGAATTCTTGAGGTACAAGTCCATAGCTTTTTATATCGAGGTTCTAATCATCTTTATCTTCACATGTGTGAAAACTACTTAAACGAGAATGGGAATGCAATGACTTAGACTAAGCTTTGAGAGTTTGAGGTTAACAACCTAACATGAAGTGTGATGTCCTGGATGACCTCTTACAAAAATCTCGGCGGGTTTAATTTGACTGAATATAGATTGCATATCAGGCTTCAGCAGTAAGAAAGACTGAAAACAGACCATGTGATTATCAATGGTGTTTCCTATTGTTTGTTCTACAACCATCATAAATTCATAGTCATTTGCTGTTGTCTTTGCATAGCAAAGTTAATGCTAGAGGGTACTCTCCATGGTTTTCTAACTTTATGATGTAATTTTAATGCAGGTTCCCTTCCAAGTCCCACTTGAAGTGAATGTAGTCCTGATTGGTTTCAGTGGAGATGGAGGTTATAGATATACAATGGATTCACAAAAACTGGAAGAGTTTCTGCGAGTGGGCTTTCCATCTCACAGGCCCTCATGTCTAGAGACTGGCGAACCCCTTGATATTGAGCATCACATGGTGTTCAATGCATTTCCAGTACGCTCTTTCTACGTATTTGCTTTTTAGGGACCTCAATCTATCCACATTTCACATGCTTGGTTACCTTGCAACATTATGTAACTTTGGCATGGCATGCACATGCGGGTATATCCAACAACCTGTCAAAAATTTGTTTTTCACAACAGCACTTGTGGAGTATTTGTGAACTTGATGAAGTTGGTTTTTTTTTCTTTCTGTAATAGGTTTACCTCCCACCTTTGTTTTGACAATTCTCAGTGGTTCTAACATTATTTGCTGTTTGGTCGCCTTTTTATGTTTCACAAATAAACAACTTAAAAGTATTGAAAAACGGTTCCGACAATTATCTAGATCTTAGTCATTCTATGAGAGGGTATTCTTTATGACAAACATACTGGTACAGTGGGACTTCAGTTTTACTCTTAAACAAATATCAGGGAGAGGAAGGCAAAAACTACATTCTGCTCTGGTCCTCATCATTGTGCTTTCTTTTTGTTGCTTACTACAGGCTGCACAGCCAGAACTGATAGCACTTGAAAAAGCTCTGAAAGCTGCCATGGTTCCTGCTGGAACTGCCAGAGAGGTTATTGCTTTGTATATTTCTTTGGTCTTTGAGAAGTAACTTGTACAGTTATATACCTTGGTATTAAACGCTTCGCATCTGTAATTTGTAGGCTGATTTTGGAAGGGAAGTTCCGGCATTTGAGGTAGACGCATCAGTTGTGGAGTCAGAATTTCAGAAGCTTTACGCCTACTTGTTCGACTTTGAGAATATGGGATATACTGCTGAAGAGAATGACAGACCTATGCCAACTGCAATATTTATTGTGAATTTTGACAAAGTACGATTTAGTATCCCTCATTTTCTATAATTATCTACTACCTATCTTTAAGATCTTGGTTACAGCAGTCTTTATCTTCACCATAGGTGATATGAATAATTCCATATCTCTACATGAAACTTGAAAAGAAAATCAGTACATAGCTATGGTATGAATACATGACAGTTTCTAGTAGTTAGAAGTAAGCTCAACTAACAGTTTGAGTCCCCAGGGAAACAAAATCAGTCAGTGTTGAAATTGTTACCATTCTTCTCATTTTTCATCCTCTTTACTTACATCCATTGGTTTATTACGGACCTATGTTTACTTTCTTGGTTATCATTTCAGGTTAGAATGGATCCTAGGAATAAAGATGTTGATCTTGATAGTTTAATGTATGAAAAACCTAATCAGTTAACCGAAGAAGATTTTAAGAAACAAGAGGGAGGCTACGTATATCGGTATCATTATGCTGGAGGGGGTGCATCTCAAATATGGCTTGGGTCTGGCAGGTACTCTTTCTCCAGTCAGTAGTAAATTGTGATATTGAGTTGCTGAGAAATTAGTTTGTTTCTGTATTGATCACTGTCATCAATTATCTTATTAAAAACACTTTCTTTATCAGCATAGATGCCAACAGCATTACACCCCCCTCCTCCCCCCAAAAAAAGAAGCAAAAACAACTTCCCACTGCAAGGAGAGATTCATGTGCACCATCTTTTATTATTGTTTTCTTTACCATGACACCAGCTTCTCAGAAGTCATCGGTTTTTCTTCCTCTGGTATGAGGTAGTTTTCTGTAACAAGAAACAATATGGAATTATAGGTCTGTAATACTAAGTCATGGTTTGAGCTGTACTTCTCTAAATTCACATGTACCTCTTCCTACCCTTGCCAAAAGATAGGTAGGTTGTAGTTTATACTATGAAGCATTATCAATGTTTTTTAATTTTTAAAATGATAGTTATTTATGTGCCTATTAAGAGCTTAATATAGAAAGATACCATTCCGCTAGTTATAGGCTACTGTTAGCCTTTCATATTGTGTATATCTATACTATCTTATAAAGCATTTAGCCATTTAGGTAAAAAGAACTCTAAATTTGAGAAGTACATCTATGAAGCGATAAATCACGAATCCAATAAGGGCTATGGTTTGTTGACAATTTTCGGCTGAAAGCATGTCCCACATAGGTGTAGCAACAAAAGATGGAGTGGGCTCGGAGTCATAGGCTTTGGCTTCAAAGCACCCCAATCAAATGCATTGAAGTATTTATGCCTTTCTTTGTTGTTCTCTTGTTATAGAGTCAAAGGTGAGTTAAATCTTTGGAGAGTGTGGGTGTAATTGCGGGTGGCTTGAGAAATTAGTTTGTTTGATTGTAATAACTTTTCACATAATGTATTTTCTCTATGGTGGCCTATATATAAAAAATAAAACAATTTAACATAGTGAGGCCTTTGTGTACAAATGTGTATGATTACAATTTCTACTTGTTCAACTTAATTTTTTTTCATCTTTTTGACGAGGAATTGCATTATTCTCGGTTCATGGTAAATTTTTACATCCCGCTGCATTACACAAGTAGTATAATAATATTGGTTGATGGTTTCCTTTAATATTGTCATAAGCTGAATAGGACCAGCATAAGGTGTTATTGTCATCTTTTAGTAGTATTACTATTATATGAAGATGGGTCTATGAGTATCAAAAGGAATGGGTGGTGAAACCTTAATATGAGAGTTTGTGGCATCAAAACCAAGTTGCTACACCTGATGTCACATGATGTGTCATGTCAACACATCAATTTGAAATTAATTTTTATTTTGGCACACTTAGGGATCATTATAGAATAGTGTAACCAGTAGTGGACTAGTGGATATGTTACTAGCCTGCATCGAGGATTCTGGTTCAATGGCTTTACATGCAATTGGGATGGGAGATAAAAGAGCGAGGGAGGTGATGGAGGAAAGAGAATGAGGAGCAATCTACAATGCGAAGAGAGGAAGAGCACAAATGTCCTTGAACGAGTCTTTTGTAATGGTGTGAGAAGGGTGTGTCTTTTCATGTCAATCACCTACCATGTCCCATCGGACTGATTAGTTCTCTCTTCTAAGTGAGGATTGACCCACAGAGATGGCTTTTGGTCCTGCAGTGAATCAATTTCTGGATAAAGCATGCTCAGAAATTTCTCTGCATGAAGACTCTATCTCATGGCTGCAAGGTCACTCATGAATCAGGCCCTTTCCGACATTGTTGTGCCCCTATTGGTGGCTTTATTTAATGGCCTTGTCGTTCATGTGAGTGCTCAAGTTCTCTAAGGAGGGAAAACACTGTCCATTCTTGATGTGACAGAGTGCTCCCCTATATCCAGCATCAATTTTTTGCATGATATGTCTCAGATACATACATTTTTGTTATGTCAAGTACTGTGAAAAAGGAAACAAGGGAATGCGGTTTTAATAGTGAACATGACTCCTAATCAGTCTTCAGTTGTGAATGTGTAATGGACATATCAATCACCCAACACTTACAAATATTCTGATTTCTGAATACATAAGAAAGATGAAGTAGAACATTCTTAGCAATTATTTGAAGGGAAGTATTCCCATGGACTTGTAAAATTGTTTGCTTCTGATTGCTTCTTGGTTCTTCATTATATTAATCTGCATAGTTATTGTGTCTATGCTGATGTACAAGGATTACCTACTTGTACTCATTTGCTGAACTGATTTAACCTTTGCGTCTTATTTTAAATGGTGCCAGGTTTGTTGTAATTGACATCTCAGCAGGGCCATGTACATACGGAAAAATTGAAACTGAAGAAGGAAGCGTTAGTTCAAAGACTCTTCCACGCTTGCGGAATGCGATGTTTTCTCAAGGCTCAATTGCTGCTAAGGATCATTCTACCACCCATGAGAACTTTATTGGCCAGATTGCTGCTTTGATTGGCACAACAGTTCAGCATGTTATTGCTCCAGATGTCAGGTCTGTTGATGTTAAATTAAACAGGATTTAGAGTTGTGACAGCTTGTTTAGCTATTGGCTAACAGTAACTAATAGGCTACCTGAACCTTTTTGGGTTGACGTTTGAGTTGAAGTTTAGGTTTTAGTACAGATGGATATCAGGTTTAACCTCTTAATTATATGTGATTTGAGTTTTGTGATAACTTGTCTAGTTTTGATTTACGTATTGTCGTTTATTCTTTGTCTTATTCAATTTTGACAGATGGGAGAGGGTGGTTTGATTATACTCCTGTCCGTATTCCAAATAGGCTTAAAGTTTATAAGCTTAGAGAAGTCTGATGAAAGTAGACTCTTGCATCCTTTTTATTTCATCATTTCAGCGCTCTGTCTTCCATTTTCTTTGTGTTCATTCCTTAGGGATGTAGTAACAGTTCATGCCAAGAGATAAATTTGGAATGAAAATGGAGCACATTTGAGATAGAATTGAGCTGTCACTTGGTCTCATTATACCCCTCTGTCCAACTGGTTATTTCCATGGACATTGAATCTGGATTGGGTTTCATTTAATATGTTCAGTAAACGTGATTCAAGAGCAAGCAAAACTCAAACCTGTTGGCTGAAACTTGCAAGTTGTGTGTAGGATCCCATTAATTTCTTGTTTATCTTTCCTGTGTCCATCTTCCTTGGCAGATATATTGGGTGGATGGCAGTAGGTGTCTTTTTATACCAAATTGTGGTTTTTATAATATGTTTTTGTTCTATTCAGTTATTTAATTTTTGCAATTGTATCTGGTGGATTCAGGTTTGAAACTGTAGATCTTGCAACAAGGTTGCTTATACCAATAATCGTGCTACAAAATCATAACCGTTATAATATCATGGAGAAAGGCAAGAACTACAGTATAGATATTGAAGCCATTAAGACCGAGGTGCATTTCTCCTCTGGAAGTTATTCTTTTATGTTTTGTATTTTCTTATGGCTTAGAAAGGGTGGCATATCATCCTTTCTCCAATATGTAATCTTAGAATCATGATGGATAACTAGTTAATGGCTCTTGCATCATGTTAAAAGAAGCATGGTTGGACTGTTGAAGTAAAATCCAACTTATCCTTGTTTCTGGTGGAAAATGACTAGAGTCTTAAGGTTTCTAAACTTGCTATCTTTATTAAAGATTCGTGAACTGGACTATGGCATGGGTGCACATATTGAGATTTTAACTGAATAAACTTGTCACTGAGTAGAAAACTTGTATCCTTGACATACATGCACCATAGTGCGCTGATATGCTTACCTGGATTTAAATGCTTCCTTGTAGCAAATTAGTAATTTATTTATCGATGGGTTCTCTCATCATTTTCAGGTTAAGAAGATAGTACACAAAGGAGAAGAAGTAGTGATTGTGGGTGGTTCACATTCATTACATCTCCATGAGAAGTTGGCAATCGCTGTTTCAAAAGCTATGCGTGGTCATTCTCTGCAGGAAACAAAGAAGGACGGACGTTTCCATGTGCATACAAAGACATATCTGGATGGTGCAATCCTTAAAGAGGTGCCACCCTACCCCCAAGACTATATTTCTATATAGTTTTTTGGTTAGAATTTACTAGCTGTGCAGTGTTAGTTCATGTCCCTGTAATCAATTTTTCTGGGGTTAATGGCTCCTGTTTGTGACCATGTTTTAGTTGTTGACGTATCTCTATATCTATTAACTTCAAATACTTTGATCTGCCTGCCCTCCTCTCTTCTTGTAACAATAAGAACACTTGTGTCCCAAAGTTATTGGGTATGGTAGCAAGCTGAGTAATTGGACTCAGAAAGCTTTGTAGTAAGATGAACAAAGACAGCCTTAAACCTTTTATTTTTACAATATACTTTCTTATTGTTCAAGTTCTTGTGATAGGAAATGGAACGATCTGCTGATGTACTAGCCGCTGGTTTACTTGAGGTCTCCGAGCCATCCCTTTCTGATAAATTTTTCCTCCGTCAGGTTGGTCTAACTTTATGCTTAAACACTTTTGGTTATAATAATTTATGTTTACCTAGCATCCTTGTGTTCATCTTTCCTTTTTTGGCACATCTTCTCGCTTTTTTATTTGCTTGTGGTGTCACACTTTTACACTGACGGTGTTCTGTTTTCTACAGCACTGGATGGATGACACAGATGGTGGCAGTGATTCCATTTTAAAGCATAAACCTATTTGGGCTTATAACCCTAAATCTCGAAGGAAGAAAACTAAGACAGTGCAAAAGAGACAAGGGGACCTGCATCGTACTTACGGAACAAGGGTCGTTCCTGTGTGAGTCACATCTTTCAAACATTGAATCTTTTAGGTTTTGTTAGCAACTTTTCTAATTTGTGTTAGAATGCGCAATTGGCAACATAATAGAAGACACACTCTAGTAGTGGATATTGTTTTGAGCATATTAAACTCCTGCATTACACTTTTTGCTATAGTTGTTTGAGGCCTTTTTTCCGCCAACAATCAATTTTGATACGTCCTACACATTTCAGTTTACACAAAGCCATACATTTGCAGCAACTTTCTATACCAATAAATTTGTCAAAGATCAAACCTCTTCTTACCATTTTTAAGTGCTCTAGATTTTGCTTCCTACAGGTGGTTGTGACTAGAAAACCCTTAGATTCTAATGTCTAATGTGTTTGTAACTTGTAGGAACTGTGGTTAACCACATATGAATTTGTAGAGGTCAATCTCACCCATCATTTGTGCTGCTACTCACTAGAAAGAAAATTCCTTAAGTTCTCTGATTCTTGATTGACTTGTCCTAGAAACACAAGTTTGGCAACATATATGACTTTCTTTTTTGGTTAGTAACATTATGTCAACCTTGTCTATGAAAAATCAAAGTCGATTTAGCATGTTACTCGAAGACATGATTTGCATTTGTGTGTAGTTCGTTGCCTCTTCTGGTAGTGCTAGGCTAACAAAATATAATTGCTTGCATGTAGTAAACACTATAGAAAGACAAATAAGATAGTGTCTCCTTTTGCAGCTTTGTTCTGTCATTAGCTGATGTGGATCCGCACCTAATGATGGACGATGAAAGCCTTCTGTGGACAAGTAATGATGTTGTTATTGTACTTCAGCATCAAGGTGAAAAGATACCTTTAAGGTAGGTGTTCATTTTCTCATTATGGCAATTCTGATTTACTTCTCAATCATTTAAGATTATATTCTCCTTGGTTTCTTCTCCAGAAGTAAACATAGTGGTGTGTACCACTATTACCTATTTTTGCTTTTGGCTCCCAGTACCTGGTATCACTCTGTATGAACCATAGTGTATGGTTTGACTTTTATATTGTGCTATAGAAATCCACAGTTAGGGTCTCATAATCAACCGCCTAGGAATTAAATCCCCTTCACATCTTCCATTAGTTAGGGCCACTTTAGTTGGCTGTTATGTGTTAAGTTTCTTCAGTCTTCAATTAATAGCTTATCGCCGAATTAAGCATCCCAAACAGTTAAGTTGGGATCAATGGATTTTCTTCAACTTGGAGGTAATCCTTCCAACCTGTCTTTGAAGAATGAAAACCATCATTTTGAAAATTAAATGCTTCCATATATTAGAGTGAACCAAATTTGCATCCACTTAATCCAGGGAAAGCTAGAATGTCACTCGACCTTGTAGCTCTCGACACTTTTAACACAATAATTTTCTTATTCCATTCCAAGTTTATCTAGGTTAGGGGTCGTTTCTATTTTCACAATTGTCTAATTTTATCTGGAGTAGTCATCCTCTTGTATTAGAGTTTATCCAATAGTTTTGTCAATTGTTTTACAAAATAATCTTCTAGAAGACATGAAGATAATTGGTAAGTTATTCTAGAAGATCTTGGAGTTCTTCTCAGAGGATTAAAGAGTTTGAGTGGCATTCAACCTCTTGAAGGATAATACTTTCAAATAAGGATCACCAAGGAATAGTTCACGGATCTTGTCCTATCAATGGATGAGCTTGACTTCAACTATAAATAGGGGGTGCAGAAGGGTGTTCAGGAATATAGTTATGCTGGTACAAGTGAATGTTGCAACTTGAGTTTGACTTTTATACAAGCAACTTTGTGAGAGGCGGTGGCTTGTGGCTTCGGGAGGAAACCATCAGCCCTAAACCGACGGGATATCTGATTGGTTGTGGCTTCGGGAGAAATCATCAGCCTTAAACCGACGGTATATGTGAATAGCAGATGAAGAGATCTAATGGATAAAAAACTATCAGGGTTAGGATCAAGTGTCACGTCACCTCAGTGGATAGATTCTATTTCTCTGTTGCAACATTCTTACAAATTCAAACACCCGGATTTACTTTGGTTATAATGTTATTGCAGAAGTGCTTAGTCCCGAATTTTAATTTGCTCATTTGGTTTTTTGTTGTGCAGTTATGTCTCAGAAACAGAAAGAAGGCATGTTGTGCCATCACAAGTGCAACGTCATATAGTGGCTGGACTAGCTGCTGTAGTGGGTGGACTAAGTGCACCATATGAGAAAGCTTCTCATATTCATGAAAGACCTGTTATGAATTGGCTTTTGGCAGCTGGCTGTCATCCATTTGGACCATTTTCTAATGCTTCCCGGATCAGTCAATTGCTACAAGATGTTGCATTGGTAAGACACATCTTTTCCTCCCATGCTAGTTTGCAACTAGAATACCTTTACTATCCATGTTTTACAAGCTTAGTCACTCGGCACAAAGAGACATGATACCACATTAATATCTATATTTTGTAAATGTCCGTCCCTCCTGTTAAATTAACCTGTTTCCCATCCATTAGCAGAATGCTATTTCAGGATTTTATTTTAACGGGACAAAATGTGCAATAACGGGGAGGTCACAAAGAGCCTGTATTATTGTCCGAAATGGTCAGCCATATTTCGTGTATTGTACCCTAGTTATTGAGATTTAAATTTGCCAGCCTTGCTTAAAGCAATTAATTGCTTAAGAAGTAGTACTCATATAGAATGGTTGGGAGAGTGGTGGATTTCAGTTTACTTCTCACTATATGCCATGGATACTACAACTTCCGGTCAACAAGTAATTTAAGATAAGTGTATGACTATAAACAATTGTCTAAAATGCCTTCAATTAGTTACAAAATAACAGAATCACGTGCACCGAAAGTAATTAGCATTTCAGATAGGTGAATTGAAATTTTGCACAAAAAAGGGAATTTATGGTGGTCCGTAGAATCTTACACTTCGACTTCAAGACATTCAAGTTCCGGATGATATTTTTAAAACCCACGAGTCCAAATTGATCTATAATAGGATTCTGGCTTGATGATTTTCTCTTAAGCTTGCTGCTAATACAGCAAAGATTTGCTCATAATTTCGTATAATTTTCTTGGAACTGATCAATTACTTACGCTGACAGAGAAACACAATATATGCACGTGTAGATTCTGCTCTTCATAGGATTCGAGAGACATCAGAGGTAAATATGGTATTCATTTATTTATTTAGTCTTCCTTCTACTTCTTCACAAGATGTACTTATTTAATCTAATTTGTTATTAGTCCGTCCAAGCTTTTGCCGGAGAATATCTGAAAACCCCTCTTGGTGAACCAGTGAAGGGCAAAAAGAACAAAACAACCACTGAGCTATGGTTAGAGAAGTTCTATAAAAAAGAAACAAACTTGCCTGAGCCTTTTCCGCATGAACTAGTCGAGCGGCTCGAGAAGTATTTGGATGTAAGTTTACATTAATATCTTACATATATGCATTTAGTCCTGCAAATAGCTTGAATGATTGCTCTTCTGCCCACTAATATCGTTACAGCATAAGGCTGCTGTAATCTCCATGGACCTCCAAATTTATTGCTTGTATTCTGGTAAAAAGCACACGATAGTGGGGTGCATTAGATGAACTGGCTTGCAAGGGCTCGTTAAAAGGCTTGGTGAGCCTGAGCTGGGCCAGCTCGCTTTGACTATCTGAGGAAGCTCAAGCCTAGTATGGCTTGGGTCCAAGCTAGGCAGCTCAAGGAGCATAAATAATGTGAGCTTGTATGAGCCACTTAATTTAATTTTGCATTTTTCTAACCCACAACTCCACAAAACTTGACATCTTGAACACTTGTAATTGTAATTCTTTAAAGGGTTGTTCAACTTTATTTTTATATAAGCCTCTATGCACTAAACCAGCCAAAGTCTTTTATATGAGAGTCAATAGTTGGCCTTTTGGCAAGTCGAGTCTGTGCCTGAGTTTTTCCGAGCTCAACAACCCATGAACCAAACAAGGTTGGGTTTTGTTCTGCTCGGTGTGTTTCATACGCAAAAGGGACGGGACTGGACTGGAAGGTTATAGGGTTTTAATTTGACATGAGTAATTTAGTAATTTACCAATCTCTACTCCTCAATGTTTTTTGTTCCAGCTATTTTGGTGTATTTTTGTCCCACTCAATCTTGACTTCAGTCTATTGTCGTGCCACCACCAAACGTAGGACAACAATTTTTGTACCAAAGGCACCAGTGTACACATTTGAAGTCATGCAGAGAGTTTTTGGTTAAATGATTTGTTTTGAAGAGAAAGAAACATCATGTGTTGGTTGAATAAATAACAGGGTCTGGAGGAACAGCTTTTAGACTTATCTTCACTGTTATACGATCATCGTCTACAAGATGCAAATGTGAACAGCTCCGAGATTCTTCAAAGCTCCATTTTCACACAGCAGTAAGTTTGTTTATCCAAAAAGCCTCTATTTTTTTCTCTCTCAGTGTGATGGTTTCTCGGAAGGTGATGATAATACACACACACACATATATACAGGTATGTGGAGCATGTACTTGAGTATGAGAAGGAAAAAATGAAATGCTGTGACATAAAGTACAAGTCGCCAACACAGTCGTCATCGCAGAGTCTGGTATATGCTGGGATTCTAATAGCAGGTGTCTTTGTTTATTTTCTTGTTATTTTCTTCTCGTCTCCTGTTAGGTAAAGTGCACAACTTTTTCATCAATTTGTAAAATGAATGTTTCTTCTCTCGCTTTTGGGCTAGACAGCGAGACATAATTTGGTTAGCACTAACAGCGAGTCTGAAGCCCACAACCAAAAAACGAAGTTGTAAGACTTGAGAATAGAAATGAAAATAATTCCTTTTTGTGGTCAAACGTTGGATTTTATTTATTATTATTGTTATCGTAAATTGGTGCATGAGTTATTGTGTAAAGAAGACCGTCAAGGCTTCAACCACCAAATAAACAGTGTGAAAGGAAAAAATAGAGGGTTTTTAAATTCTCTTTTTAGCCTTCTGTATTTGGAAGAAAACATCATTATTTTCTTTTATCTTCTTCTCACCTAAGTAAGTTCAAGAACACACTTTTAAAAAGATTTAAATAAAATAATAATAATTCAATTTCATTGGTAGATATGAACAATAGAACAAATTTCTCTATAGTTTTACTCTGTTTTAAAGAATAATAAAATACAAAATAAGTTGGCACAAAATATAAACAAAAGCTTTACTTTATTGTAAAGCAATACCACAGCAGCAACACACATGGCCCAACAGCAGTCGTGAAACGCCGTCCCCTACTAGGCCAACGTCAGAAGTTCAAACCTGCAAACCAGAATGGTCACCCACATCTATAGGTATTGCTTGACCGACTGAACTCAAAAGCACATCTACTAAATATTATGAATTACTGTTTGTTTTAATCATTGTCATTAGAGCACTGAAACATGTCCATTATATATCTTGAGTTTACTGTTTGTTTTAATCAATGAAGCACATCTCGTTTTTGAATTGTTTAATTTGCAAGTGCATTTACTGTTTGTTTTGATTTTGACCAAAGTTTTGTTGGTTAGTTTAATAAGGTTATTATTAGCATAGTTTGGTAAAAAAAATCCCCATTGAGTAGGCATGCGAATGGGCCAGTGCTTGAGAAATGCCACATAACCAACAAAGTGTAAGTGCTCAACCCTTAGTAACTTCAATATTGTTGTTATGAATGATTCCCATATGAGCACTTACACTTTGTTGGTATGTGGCATCCCAAAAACAACCAGGCCAAAATATAGCTTTTATATTAGGTCCTCTATTAAACAAAAAATATAGCTTTTTATGGTTTATGATAATATATATGGTTTTTTTTGCCAACAAGTCAATTGACTAATTCAGAGGTTATCTTTTTAGCAACACCATTAAGAGACAAACAAACAGACTTCGAGATGAATAAGGAAGTATCAACAAATCAGGCCATAGGATGTAAAACCACCTGCATCATAAAGTTGGGCAGTAATAATCATTAGGCACAAAATCAGAGAACATAATATGTCATCCTCATGGTCATCTTGCGACATATAGCCCCAGTGTTCAAAAAGGAACCCACACTTCCATTCGCACTTAATTACTAATTAGGGTTGCTATTTGAAATAAATCTTACACAAATACTCAACAAATTACTTGCTAAGAAGAGAAAAAAGTTTCTAACTAACAAAAAAAATAACAAATAGAACAAGGTTACCATTCATTTTTGCTTCAAATCACACTTTGATTTCTTCTCACATTGAGAAGTGATTCCACATTACAAATCTACATCTGTTTGGAGCTTCTTATGAAGATGAAAATGATTTGGGTCATTGAACGTATATATTCAAAGAATTAAACAAACGACTAAAGAACAATGAACAAATGGTGCAGAATCCAGTAGGGAAAAAATGAAAGTTACTAAGAACAATGAACAAATGGTGCAGAATCCAATAGGGAAAAAATGAAAGTTGCTAAGAACAATGAACAAATGGTGCAAAATCAAAGAGTGCAGATTCCACATTACAATACACAAATCTACATCTATTTGCATGACCGCCAACTGCCGCCTTCCGCCAACAAAGCCCCATGGCTGCATTTCATCGCATCGTTGCATTATATAGTATATACTCTCTAAATTACATCAACACCCCTTCATCTATATTCTTGTTTGAATTACAAAAGAAATCGATCCACATGAAAACTCTTAACCAAAAAATGGAAATCAATTACACGTTAAGAACGATGGAGGAAAATGGAGATCGATTTTAAAGAACTCGACAGGAGATGAAGAAAAAATGAGAATAAATCAATTACCGGAAACAGGGGAGTATTTGAGAAATCAAACTAAAGACCATGGGGAGAATCGAGCAATGGAGGCATCAACAATGTAGACCAAAAAGGAGATTGAAAGGAAGCAACGCCTTTGGAAAATCAAACATCATTTACATAAGAGGTGCATTGGGAGTGGCCAGTGGGAGAACCGACGAGAGAAATCATAGAGCAGAGTTGGAGCGGCACCTAGGGAGTCTGAATCAATGTCTGAATTCAATGTCTTGGTAGCAACAATTGCATCCAGAATAGTAAGGGGTACCATATGCAATTGTATCAAGCAAGTTGTAATGTCGCTTGTAATTAAAACTTTATGCTTTAAATAATTAAAACCTAGTGCATTTAAGGATTTTTTAAGATTTATCAAATTTAGTTTATAAAAGGGTTCTTGATTTCAAATCTTTTTGTAAAATTGTGTGCAAGAATTTTTAAAAATATTAAAAACATTATTTTATAATAATCGATTAATATAAAAATAATTTAATTAATTTTATAATTATTTTATAAATAATAAAATCCAATTCCATTTTTTAGGCTGGATTTCTGATTTAAGCAAACCTTCAAGATTGCCAGTTGGTTTCTAATTTTGCATTTTTTAGACCGAAATCTGATAAATTAGTTAACCATTTGAAAGATATGCAAGTTCCTCACAACTTCAAGGGTTTTATGGAACTTCACTCTTTTTTGGTTCTAAACTTTCATGAATATGCTATTTTAACATTTAGCAAAGGTCACCAAATTGTAACTGATACTGGATCTCTAACAATGAATGAATCTGATCAGAATATCCATTGGATGTCAATGAATCATATCTAATACAATCCAATTAATATGGTTGAATGCGATTATTCCATGTTAACTCAATTGGATCGGTTATAAAAATCCAACATCAAATGGATGATTAGATCAATAATTGTCAAACGATGGTCAACAGCCTTTTTTACATAAATAAAAAGAACATGTTTTTAATTGGAAAAGACAAAAGCAATCAAAAATAGAGTTTGTTTCAAATACAAACCGTCAATTTGTATAACCAATACAACCCAATAAATTAAAATATTTATGAAAATGATGAGAATTCATTTATTATGATCAATACTTTATATTATGAAACAATCAAAACTTCTATGAAATCACATATTAATCAAATCAAATAGACGGTTAAAATTGGGTTGTATTGGTTATGCAAATGTCTAGGGTTGTATAATAACCACCCTCATCAAAAATATACTTTTAAAGATATTCAAATATATAACAGGAAAAAAAATATCGAGTGTTCCCTCAGAAATGACTGAAAACGGTATCATCAATATCAGAATTAGCATGGTCAAATTCAAGCATCATAGGGAACATCAGAACAGTGTAAATACCATTCAAAACACTAAAACATGAAATCGAAACTGAAATTTATTTTAAAAACATTAGTTGAATCGTAGAAATTAAAGAGATGTGTTTAAAAGGCTCAGATAAAACACTAAACGTTGTAATTCCTAGACCTTAAACAAATTAAGGTCTCATAGAGCTGGGATTAGATAGTTTCATCATCATTGCACATATAAAAACTTTATAACTAATTTAAACATATAAAATAACAGAACAAAGCAATTGAAAAATCATGAAGAACACAATATTAACAACAAAACTCAATTGAACCTAAAGGCTCAGATAAATAATGAACTAATTGTAATCCACAACCTTAAACAAATTAAGGCCTCATAGTGAGCTGGGATGCAAGTTCTATCATCATCGCAACAACAGTAACAGTTTCAGATCGAGGATGTAACGAAATCTAGAATATAAAACAGGTGATCAGACTAGCTTTCTAGGCTGCGTTATGCATCAAATCAAGCAATTAATCAATTGCTCTCAGAGCCCAGTGCAAATTTCATCATCTCAAAAATCGAATTTATAACAATTTATTTATGTAAAATATTAGAAAGCAAATACGAATTCGTTTTCAAAGGCATCCTCAGCGTAAATGCTTGTAGTTGTCATCAAGAATAAATCAGGTCTCAAAGATATCATGCCATCATTGGATCGCCAAATAAGATTCAATTTTCACTAAATCATACAAAAGATCAAAAATACAAACACACGTATGTAAACGAATTTAGCGGGGTTTTATTAGCTGCGCCCGGTGATTAACAGAGGCGAAGCGACTCAACGCTCCCGCAATGAATCTACGCCTCTTACGGACGCAAATCCAAGGAAAAATCATTTCGATTGTTAAAATTTCCGAAACAAATTCTCACGAAGAGGCGTAAAAAATTCTCAGATGTATGTAATTGAATGAGAAAATAGAACAGAAAAGCAAGCAAACTTGTGCATATACCATAAGAAATGCAGACGGATAGAATACGAAGAAGACATCAATGGTGGATCTTACAGTGTGGAAGTAGGCCTGGCAGCTTCAGTTTATATAGCACTTTCATGGATTTGAGAATTAGGGTTTCCATTCGATGAACAAGAGGCCAGCTTTTGAGATTATGGGTTTCAGCACATAACGAAGGCCCAAATGAGAGCCCGAATTGATTATTCACGTCCCGATTTATTTTCTATATTCCCTACGAAACTATCCTTTTTATTTTTATTTTTTATTTTTGATATATGAAATTAAAGAAATTGATATAAACAAATAAATCCAAAATATCAAGACAATTTTTTTTTAATACATAACCAAAAAAGTTGATACAACATGAACCGAAAGCACGCATACATGGTTGCTTCTTGATTTATCATACAACAAAGCATACTAGAAAATCAAAAACTTGCAAATAGTCGTTACTAGATTTTAGTTTATTCAGCCCAACTGGCGTTATTCATTCATACATCACGAGCATGCCTCATGGACTGTAACATAAGGGTCCAATTGAGTAGCTAATTCCCGGTCTCTGGACGTGTTGTTGAGTGATATGAGTGGTGATTATCCAGACTAGAATCACGGTTTCCACCATCCTCTTTGTTGGTTACCGGTTTCTTTGTTAATCCAAAGTCAACCTTTCGTCCAAGATCTACTTCTGCTTTAGTTGTTCCCAAGACTATCACCAAGGCTACAACGATCACGAGCCATGTCTTCTTCATCATCATCACCGTGAGATTTACACTGAGTCATGGAAATTTTGTAAGACGTTTCATAAAGAAAATCAATCGAACTTTTCAAAAGAACACATTATAGGAAGAAAAAAAACAAGAAAGAAACTCTAATCATGTGTATATGTATCATAAGATGTGGTATCATATGAGAAGAAACAAGCAATGGGTATATACCTTATAGAATTTCTTTTTCAATGAGGTAACAAGAGAGTTTAAATGGAGCTAATTAAATAAGTGAACATTTTTACTGTTTATTCGACGGTGATAAAAATATCATAAATAAAATGTATAATTTGTTACTAAATATCCGTTAATAAAATTTAAAAAATTATTTGATTACTCATTTGAAATATTAGTGGGAGGATACAAAAGTTTAGCACTAATAAAATGAATTTAGAGAAGTAATCATTATTCTGAGATTAAGATATTTTACACAGTAACATATGTTTCCATCTTTTATGTTGTCAATGGATATTTTTTAGTGGCTTATTAAAATGAAATAATTACTTAACCGTATGAAAAGTTTATGATATTAACTATCTATAGAATTTATATTACAAGTTTTATTTATATGATTTTTTATTTTGTAGATTTGTATGTTTAAGATCTCTTAGAATTACGATATTAATGTATTTTGTAGTATAGTGCGTTTTTCTTACCATGAATACATGGTGTGATGGTGAAAGAGGAAACAACAAGTATATAACAAGACATTTGTACAAGAATACCTACACCAACTAACGTTATTATTATTATTATTAGTATTATTATTATTATTATTATTATTATTATTATTATTTTGATTAATTTGGATATCCAATTCGCTATGCGAGCCGACTAATTCCAGGGCGACCACATGCTTTGCAGATAGCTCAGAGTCACCGCATTTGAACCTCCGTGGCCATAAGGGGATTTTTATTCCTCATTGGATTTGAACATGAGACCTTATTATTATCATAATAAAAATAGATAATAGAAGCATTAGAAAAACATATATAATTTTTTTTTTAACTCTTCCATGGTGAAGTTGAAGGTTCAAGCAACTATCATTTTGAGGTTAAGTTTATCGGATGGAAAGCTTGATGCTATATTGTGGTCCTCCCTATAAGAGAAACTACATACTCCAACTTAAGTTGATTATAAAATAAGTCGACATAACAAATACAATAAGTTGATCACCAGATAAAAGTTTAAAGTTTGTAATGGTATATACATGGACGACAGTGTGATTTAGGAATACATGAGGAAATAAGTTGATTGTTTTAGACGATCCTCCAGGTTGCAACTAAAAAAAGAGCTCCAGTGACAATGGAGTTGGCATTTCATATGAGTTTGCCATCCATATAGTTCTATATTATGTTTACTTCCAATTATGGAGAGTGTTTTTCTGAAAGACAGCAAAAAATTAAAAGAACAAAACAAACAAAAAGGTTTGAAGGCAAAAGTTTTTGCAAGAAACATAAATAAACAAGCGCACAAGAGCCAGAGAAAAACACGCCGTAAACAAAAATACCCGAAGCAAAAAACCAAGCGGCATCCAAAGGAGCCACCCTTGTAACCCCAACTCAAGGAGTAGACAAGCCAAAGCCCAGCTCAAAGAAGAACAATACCGTAACACGGACACTAAAAAAGAAACATTCTTTTTTAAAATTTCTTTTGATTTCAAAGCCAACTTAACATGTCAAAATTAACGAAAGGGACAAGTGTAAATCCGTAAGTCATGTCAAAACCCCATTACTCGTGGTAGGACGATAATAAAAAACCATGGCAAAAGCATTACCACAACTTATGACAATGTACGAGTTTTATGTGCAAGTACAAGTCTTACAACATAAGTCGTTTTGAAATATTTTACACATATTCTTTTTAAATTTCAAAGATAAACATAGAATTGAATGCAATCAATTACTCACAAATTGCTCAGGTGGATTATAATCATGAAAGGTGTTTAGTAGTGGGATGTTAAAAAGATTACCAATAAAAAGTAATTAAGTGGGATTAACTGTACGTTACTAAATAATTAATCATGATTAATGATTTGAACATACCAAATTATAATTTTTTTTCAGACATGGCCATCTTGAAGGTTAATACTTGGTCATGCTAAATGAATATCCCTTCTGTTGATTAAACCTCCTAAACGTTCGAATATATGAAAATTATAGAAAAATTGATGATTTTTTCAGACATTGTTATCGCTAGTCCCAATTTTAGTTTTAAAAGTGTGAAAAACAAAAGCCGAGTTTAAGGTAAGAAAATTACTATTTTTTGTGTTTTCCTATAAATAGAAGTCATCTTTTCTATTTGTAATGTGTGAATTTGAGTTGTTTTTGTAACCACTTCATCTTCAAATACCCCGGTTATTTCAATTCTTGTAAAATTGATGGTCACGATTAATTATCATATGATTACGATTTAATGTTCATATTTTATTCATATTAATTCATTGTTCTTTCATTTATAAACTGTTTTGATCTAAAAATTGTTTTTACTTTACACATTTTGTTTATAATATTGATTTGATATGAAATTTAGGATACAATCGTGGTTTGTATGGCTTTGACCCCTATATAAATTAATTTTATTAATAGGTATT